CGATTAGTTAGCTCCCTTTGTATTATCTGCCCTTGAGTTCCAAGCAAAAACATGTGCTCTAAAAGTGCCAAATATACGTTTATTTCTGTTGGTTTCATGTAACATTTTACAAGTGGGAGTGTCTTTATAAGTGGCTCCAATAGTGCCAAATATTCTACCAAATGCGTTACGTTTTGTGGGTTTGAAAGGTTTCATATGTGACATTTTGGAGAATTAAGCACAGTGTACGATCCCATACAGTGCAAACCGGATATAGTGTGCTGTACGCTCGTGCTATGGTTCATAGATATGTCGTCTGAACAGGTATGCTCGATCAAAAACGTGTATATAAAGACAAAGCACAGTATAATTTTACATGCAAATAGGCTGCGCTACAACATTAGATAACTTCCATATAACATTTACAGTAATTATTAGCGAGATATTTGTATGTTAATGAAAACACAATGTTTTTCACCTCGGGCCAAATTCGACAAACCTGTGCGCTTTTGCTTCTACTCACATATACCATGTTAGCCTAAAGACCTACCAGTATTCTATTCGTAATATATTTTACAATGTATGTGTGAATTTTCATGTTTCAAAGTTGTTTAGTTATGACGATATCTATGAATTCACTGACAACAATGCAGCATCACTGTACTGGATTATAGCCGAAACTGTTTGTTTCTCTGTATGGAATATAGCGCATAGCTGAATAACGTCCTGACTGAGAGCTTATTCAAAGGTGCGCTTTATTGATATATTTGGACACATTCAACGTATGTATATATTGTACTGGTATATCTTGTTTTGAGAGAACTTATTACGAAAGCATATTTGGAATGTCTCCACTCACAAGTTACAGCTTTCAGAAATTTGTCATGTGCAAGAGTTTCTCCAACTCTAAGTTGTCTCAACTGTCTAACGTGACCACTGCAAATCTTGACCCAACGACTTGAACTACTCTTTTTTGTTCGTCTGAACATTCGGTAACCTGTTCTTATTCACGAAATTCCAAACTGTTAAAAAGTTCTTCACAACTTTCCAAAATACGAGCTTCGTATTATACTTAACATTTTCCGATGAGAGTCAGATGCTCCTAAACCCAACATAAATCAACGTCCCCTAACTTTCCACCCGTACAGACATTGGTTTTCTTTCCATTAACACACATTTTGTAAGTGTTAACCTGTTTGGGGTCAGTTTTAGCAATCCTGTCCTGCATTTGCAAGAAGGTTCAAGTTGGTTGTCTTCAAAAGGACCTTTCATTCTGTCCAGAACAGTCCTATCAGGAACTGCGAAGTTTATTTGGGAATCATTAGGAACATACACACCACTAGGGACTTTTCCCTCTGTCACTGTGCCGGTGTTTTTCAGCCCAATTCTCCAAAAACACTTTGTAACCTCACTGTATCTCATCAGAACCGTGTTGTGGAGTGAATACCACGATACCACTTCAGAAAACAGCATGAACGCAATATTGTCCAAGGGAAATGAATTTGAAGCAACCAATCGTGTGAAGTTAAGAAACAGATGAGCATGTCGAAGGCCTTTAAGTTATTTTAGACTAGTGGAAGCAATTCTATCATTTCTTTCACAGAACCTACATCAAAACTCCCACATATAACAATTGTCGACGAGGTCCAAGTGCTGGCTTCATGTGAGGAAAATATTTTTGTATTCCTATCTAGTTCCTCTGTTAATTCATTCATTGACAAGGCTTTCATCTGGCCAAACACACCCTCCTTCGTATCACATTTATGCTTTTTCTTAAGGGGACTGAATACTTCAGTTTGAAATTTTGGTTTGAAGAAAAATAATTTAAGATGAGATATTAGAATTTATATTTTAATTGACTGGATGGGTGATTGATAATACAGTGGTCACTGATAATGTTTAAAGAATTTGTCCGAAAATCAGAATAATAGCAAACTGAAGTGTTCATTTAGTTGACCTGTGTTGAATTTAGATGTAAAAGAAAATGAAGCAAAATATATAATTAGGAACTTCAATTATTTAGAAATGATAACATGAACTAACTAGAAGCCATGCAGTGATTTGTTTTGAAAGCGTTATCAACCAAATGTATTAGCGGCTATCAACTTGTACGGTGATGACGTTTAACGGTGGGTAACGTTTAACTCTCGTGTAAAGAAATGAATAATCTATGTTAGGAATATTTCACACCATTTGAAAGTTTATTTATTACATATTTCATATGTTGTCAAATTATACCAAGAAACTGCGAAATTAAGGCATATTGTGGCTTTATTTCCGATGTTTTCTGCGAAGGAGCAAAGTCGGCGATGCGCTTTTGATATTTGAAAGAATTTAGCGGGTCATTATTTAAATTAGCAGTGAATTATAGTTTATAAGAGTAAAAAGGAAGTGTTTCGCTCATTTTAGTACTTGAACTATACTCACAGTAACCAAAAAAACAGATAAAATGAGCCCGTGACAACGTTTCTATCAATCAAAGCATGAACGTACAGCACACTATATCCGGTTTGCACTGTATGAGACACCACTGTGTTAAGGGACCGCTCATAATTTATGGCTTGGGCGGTGATGATTATTTTTATGGAGAAGCATGTACAATGTGAATGACCCTCCCCCCTAAAATTTATGTACACAATAATTGAACACCCTCCCTCACCACCCCACACACACACAAAATCAATCCCCCTCCCCTTCCAATAATTTCTTAGCGTAATTTTAATCAGTGTTATGTTCAAACTTGCTGAAATACCTCAATTAAACATTCCACATTAAGGTTCTATATCATTTTATTTATCTGTAAACCATTGGCATACAGCCATACACAATGAGGACTGGGAGCCTGAAAGTATGGTGTAACAGCAACTTAGAAGATGATGTCGCACACAGAGAGCTTTTATGAATTTATGATGTACGCACTTGGGCAGAAACCCTCCATTCAATATATCATTATATATATTGCAATATCTCTTAAATTATTGCAATATATCGCAATATGAGAATCAGGGCAATATCCAGCCGTATCCACCAGGAATGTGGTCGGCATAAGTCGATGTCCTGAATACGCCCGGCATGCGTACTGCATATGCAGCTATTTGCAGCAAGAAAAATAGTGTTACGCAAATCATACGCACCTCATGCGCAATGGATGCGCTGGACTCGATATTTATACGCTAGATGTGCGTTAGGCCTACACATAAGTCAAGGTAATATATACATTTCGCCTTTTTTGTGTGTAAGGAACTCATAAGCTCTATATATACGCACAAGGGGCTCTAGTTTCAGTCAGTGTCGATGCGCCAGAGGTACGCGTTCCCATCCCTGGGTACACCTGCACTCATCGCTGTTTCATAAACACATGCTCACGGTTTAGTCTGGATCGGACAACACACTGCATGTTATGGCAGTGTTTTTGTCACACATGTTATATTTGGGATTACACTTTTTCAGTCAAGTAAATCTAGTACTTTCGTTGGGTTGAGTCCTATCCGGGATTCGAACCCGCACCCTCAGAGTCCTAATCGCCAGCACACAAAGTCAGCCTCATAACCCGCTCAGCCACCGCGACTACCAGTTGTCCGACCGACTTCCATTAAATGTGGAAGTCGCGGTGGCTGAGCGGGTTAGGATTTTGTCGTTTTAATCTATTATTGGCTCATAATGTCAGTAAATCCAGTTATCAGCAGTCACGTTGTGAAACTGGTTCTTTGAGAATAGGGTTTGGATATTGCGTCCCGAAGATGGTAACGGATACTAAGATTTTTCAATATTTATTGTGATTGAAACTGAACAATTAAAGAGGACACGAAGATATTGAAGGACCGCGAGATGTTGGACGATTAGTGTCGTTCCTCTGTATACTCAAATCCACCATCTCAGAATTAATCCCCTGCTATGAGAAATCAGTCTATTCCTGTAAGGTGAGAAGGGGATAGTAAACTTGGTTAAATTGTTAGTCACACGAATGACCTCGGTTCTGTTTTGTAACATGGGTACACATGAAACAACCTACTGCCACTTTTACACAGATATAGAAAAACAATTATCAAGTAGATTTAGCTCTACGTGACTAAATGCGGATATGGTTTCTCTGTGAATAAACTACTTTGGGGCAGTACAGCTCAGGTTTGCCACTAGAAACTTTATTGAATAACCAGGGTAAAGCGTTCACTGTGTAAATTAGAGTTCGACATGAAATCGTTCACTATGATGTTCTTAAATCGTTCACGAACAGTTTGATGGTGTTGTTCTTTCAAGGATGGAAGCTCGAAATCGGCACAATACTAAGCATTCAATGTTGGCATAAAGATAGTTCGATAATTACTCTAAATGTTGGTGTATTTTGTTTTTCGTTTATACAGCAATGATACCTTACACTTTTATATATTTATGCATCTTTACAGAAACGTAGCCGAGGCTAGGCAATGTTTTACAGGCTGATGGGCTTGTGTGATGACGGAATGGAAAGATATTTGATAGAATTACGCACATGTGTCTTCTATTTTACAGCATGAATTTTGGGGACAATGTGACCTATAGAAATTCAGATATTGACCATTTTTCTACACCTAAAAAATAAAACGTACTCACCTCTCGCGTGATAAGTCGTTCACTTCCTGCGATGAACTATTTCCTGCCGTTCACCGCTCCTACGGTGTGGGGTTGAAGCTAAGACTGACTGACTAACTGAGTTTGGTTTTACGCCGCTTTTAGCAATACTCCAGCAACATCACGGCGGGGACACCAGAAATGGTTTGTATTACATTGTACCCATGTGGGGATTCGAACCCGGGTCTTCGGCGTGACGAGCCAACGCTTTAACCATTAGGCTACCCCACCGCCCCTTTGAAGCTAAGATGCCCAACACCAGTATTCCCAGTCGAGAAAACAGGATTGAAGTAACAGGATTATTGATAAAAGCGGTTTAACTCAGCCGTTTCACGCACCAAGGGTCAATCCATTAACCACATGGTCCGTCTTCCAGGACCAAAGAGCCAAATATCTTTCCGGTGACATGGACGATGTTGAAGAAGAAGTCTGTGTTTCTAGCGACTCTCTGTACGCTGTCGGTGACAATGTATGTACACATGTATACGATGAGACCGGTATTGGAGAAAGGAGGATCACTGTCAAACTCACCATCTCTTAGTGAAGCTTCTTCACTGCTTGATTCAGCGGACGTTAACGTGTTCGAGAACAAATGGACATATGAATACACGTCGTCTATATGTACGGGTGATAACAGCACGTCCACGGCGGAGGATCTGCTGTCTAAGGTGAGCTAACAACCCTGCTGGGCTGCGGGAGTGACGAATATTGAATATGTCGAATTGTTGCGCGTCGCGTTTTAGTCAGTTTTTAGGCTTCTTTTTACACATCTTAGATAGGGCGACAATGCGAGAACGCGACATATTTTGACCTTGAAAACTGTCGCTATGTCGCGTGTCGCCCTTTGGAGGAATAGAAAAATATTATTGAAAACGCGACACGTGACATCGCGACAGTGCGACAAATGGGCGAAATGTCGCGTTGTCGCGTGTCGCGTGTCGGGTGTCGCGTTTTGGTTTATGTTGCCTCATTTTACTTGTTTTTGAGAGGGCGACAATGCGACAACGCGACAATGTCCCTTCTCGGATTCCATAGAAAAGCCACATTTTATTGACAATAAGTATGTATATCCCAATCATAATATGCAAACCATGCAACCATAATTTACGATTTGAAACCAGACAGACAGACAGTCTGTCTGTCTGTCTGTCTGATTTGAAACCAGTGAAGAAAACCAATATACGTGAATAATGTAAAGATGTAATGCTTACCATATTATGTGGTCTAATTTGTGTACGTTTGAGAGTTAAAAGTACAGAGATTTTATGAACCTATCGAGAATTATCGTTAAATTTTCAAAGCAGTACAAAAACACAAAAGAAATTATCTATCCATGTACGACATGCTGTCATCTTGTCACGTGTTACTACTTATGCATATTTTGTTGTACCTTTTTGACCGACCGCCGGTACTCGTGGTTTGGTTTCTATGCAATTGATGCCCTCATTAACTGCTTGGCTGTTGTTGAAAGTCGCGATTTGTAAATAATCTAGTCTGGACCAGGCAGTTGAGGTATTGAACTCTCGAGGATACAATGACACTCCGATCCCGTTAGTCGCCACTTACGCTAAGTCTGGGTTGCTTATGACTCTCGTTTCAATCGTCATGGGATATAATTGCAGCAGTGTTTGAATGCCTTACAAATCTTGTTGGGACTGACAATTTGTTCCAATCTCGTTTAAAGTTCTCCTTTCTCGCCCAGAAACGACCTGAGCTCCTGTCCAACTACAAGAACCCATGCTGGAAGACAGCGACAACCCGGAGGCAAGGCGAGGCGACTGTCGAGTGTATGCCTTACTTCCATCTTCTGGGAGTTGATAAGTGTGGCTCAACCGATCTCTTTCAGCGGATCCTGCAGCATCCAGAAATGGAACCGCCTCTCTGTTCCGTGGCTAAGGAGTGCTACTATTGGGCATGGAAGAGGTAAGGTAACAGTAGTGTCGTCCTAGATTACCCGTTGTAGAGCACAGACAGTATTGCGTGCATAAGGGCGCGGTGGGCTTTGAGACAAGCATATGATTACTGGCAGGATCAACCAGATAAGCGTCGCCTTCGCTGTCGGAAGGGACGCGGCGCCCAGCGCTGGCCAGTCAGGGTTTTGCGGTTGCCCTGCTCGCTGCCCGGAATCAAGCTCGCGCCGGCGCCACGTTCTCTTTCACTGCCGGGACGATTCCGAGTCCCGGCGTGCGACTACTTCCGGTCTTCGGTGTCGGCGCCGACACGTACTAGCCGTGTGTAGTCGAGTCACTCCACCAGGCTAGTAATCCAGCGAGCTTTGAGGTGACGGGATCAGGCCCACCTGTGACCGGGTGTAAAAAACCTTGGAGTCAACTTTGTGTGCAGACTCTTTCAGTGTTGTCACAACCCCTAGTGTACAGTACACAACCCCTTGCACTTAAAAGAACCCACGAATCCGTTGGAAGATGACCAGATGGTGGCCACATGAATACGTGCAAACACCTAGTTGCGGGTACAGCAAGGTGCAGTAAAACTTGGACAAAGTGCTGTGAATATGTATCCCAGTCCACCCAGCTGTGAATGGGTACCTCTTAAGGATGGAAAAGCCACATTAACTCGGTGCGCCTAGTAGGCAGCAAGATGTATGCTCCCCAGGCGCTAGTATGTATGTATGTGATGTATGTAATGTATGTGTATGTATGTATGTATGTATGTATGTGTATGTATGTATGTATGTATGTATGTATGTAATGTATGTATGTATGTATGTATGTATGTATGAATGTATGTATTTGTACAACGAAGTTATAATGACGAAAACGTCCAGGATGATCACGTTGTGAGTCTATATCAAGACATAAACTTGAGGGGGCATGGTTACTAAGTCATCCCGGGGTATAATATGAAGTGAACAGTCCGTTATCCTATGTACCTCGGTTCGAATCCGTTATAAGTCCTGATCACGTCCTTTGGTTTGTCCAATATTGACGTGCTTCTGTACCTGTATATACTTCGCCACCCTGATGAAATATGCTTTCATCAAATCCGGAAAATATAATGTATGAAAGAACTTCATCTCATAGTCTCAATACGGTTCCTTTTTGGGCAATCCACAAACATTTAGCCTTGAAGTAATTTTGTGACAGAATATTGTTTTATCGGTCCCTGTGTTTCTCAGTATTTTTGGGAGTCAATATGTGTGGTATTCTAAAATTTGAACGCATTGTTGGTAATTCCTCTTCAGGTATCTACATGAGAAATAATAGCATGCCTGACTGGAAAACAATTCAGTTCTATTTGACCTATTTTAAAGAAGCCTCAAAAAGTATTCAATTGCGTGAAGTTGACGGGTATCATTCTCATATTACAGGTAGGATGTGTAAATGTTAAGATTCTAAACCCTTTCTGCACACCAACTGTTGTTGCGTGTTTAAAACATATAGATACCCACTTATTTCAAACGGTAAAAAGAATTTAAAATATTGGGGGGGCAACTATACATTCCAGTATATTACACATCAGATGTCAGTGATGTGCTATGTCTGGACTTGTGCTATACTCAGACAAAGTTCTGGAAGGTACTACAAGGTACTATAACCCTATGGGCCAGTCCGCTATTTTCTGAGTCCAGGGAATTAGAGAGTTTTCTTGAGTCGCGAATTTGACATGGCCTTAGAATGAGCGGACCACGTTGTTACAAAGTGTGTTTCGGGGAACAGCTCAGGAAGTGGATTCTGCCTTACCTATTGACAGGTGTTCTGATTATCAGACTGTAAAAGGCTCATAAGGTTTAGGTTTGCTAAGAAAAAGGATGCTACCTCATTTGTGGAATTTGCTGGGGAGAAAGAAACATTATTCTTCTCAAGAGGACGGTGGTGATTTTTATAGTTTGGGGCAGTTGGTTTTGTTGGATGATTTCTGTGTTAGAAGACATTCCGACTGTTGATGAGCAGAAAGCTGATCAGTTCATTAACGTAATAAACTCTGTCAAAAAAGAAACGCAACCCCTGTATTTTAGAGATTTTGATCTGAAGTTTTAGGACGACACGGCATTTTTATTATTTAAGACAGAAGTCTGAAATTTGGCAGAATAATAACCCAGATGGGCATGTTTAAAATTGTCATTTCAAAAGTCATCTCACAGACACCAGTTTGTCACCAGGGGGGCGTCTTTCTCAGTATCTCGTATGAGCACCACGCGCTGCAATCACTGCACGGCATCTCCTTGGACAAGAACGGATAAGACGCCGGATTCTTTCCTGGGAGTAATGGCTCTCCACTCCTGCAGTGCAACGGCGAGCTGTTGCAGCGTCTGTGGCGGCGGCTGACGTTGACGTACGCGTCGATCCAGAGTATCCACAGGTGTTCAATAGGGTTGAGGTCTGGTGATTTAGAGGGTCATGGCAAGACATTGACGTTGGAATTCTGCAGAAAGTTCATTGTTGCACGCAGTATGAGGCCGGGCGTTGTCCCGTTGAAAAATCTGTGTCTGTTGGTCAATAATCGGGAGAAGGTGAAGCTCTAACACGTGGTTGATGTAACGTTGGGCTGTCAGGTTCCCTGGAACGATCACCAAGTCTGATTTCTGGTTGTATGAGATGGTTCCCCAAACCATGACGCTTTCTCCGCCAAATCTGTCCACCTGTCGGACGCAGATGGGCGCAAAACTTTATGACGTCTCCTATACAGACGCTGTCTTCCGTCGTGACGTTGCAAAAGAAAACGTGATTCATCAGAAAACCAGATTCGCCTCCAGTTTTGTCAAGTCCGTATCCTTACGTTGTTGCACCACCTGAGTCGTCGGCGTCGATGTAGGGGCGTAGTACAGGTCCAACAACTGGTCTACAGGCACGTAAACCCGCTTCTTTCAGACGGTTCCTAATCGTTTGAGCTGACACTCTCCTCAAACCTGGTATTTGTGGTGGCAGTCACGGTTGGTAGGGCATGCCGATTACGCAGGTGATGGACCCGATGTACCGATCTTGAAGGGGTCGTGATTCTTGGCCTTCCACTTCTCGGGCGATCGTTGGTCAAATTGAAGTTGTTGTAGCGGCTCCAAAGTCGGGATATCGTTGTTTTGTGAACATTTAGGTGCCGTGCAACAGTTCCAAAACTTTCTCCGGCTTCTGAACACGACCAATGGCGATATTTCGGTCGGCAGCACTCAATCGTGGCATTTTAACACAGCTTTTCGGCGACAAATGAATGAATATAATACGGAAGCACATGGGCTTTTATACACCTCTACATTAACTGCCATTTTCATGATTTGCATGTGTTTTTTTTGTGCGAAGTCACCATGAGGGTCATTTCATGCGTTGTGACGGAATAAGCAATAAAATACACTTATGCGTACAAATGCAGTTGTTTGGATGGTAATCTTCATTAATTACGTGTATCATTTCAATACATTCGAATAAAATTTAGTTTGGAAGCAATAACTTCATTCAAACGAATTTTTCATATCTGAGGACAGGGGTTGCGTTTCTTTTTTGACAGAGTTTATTAAGGCTCAGGTGCGCACCCGTCCTCCCCGCAAAAAAATTCCCTGAGTAGCATTTCCCCCTAATGCCTAATGCCCCCATTTCACTGGGCTACGACCAATCAAGACTACCCCGACTAGTGCCGATTCGTCACCTACGATGTTATCGTTCTCAATGCCGTAATTGCCGATTACACGCGAATATTACCGATCGACGCCGAGTAAAGTACGTATAATTGCCGAGTAAGACACGTAAAGTCGACCCCCAAACCACAAAATGGCCCTCATTCTGGGCTATAAAAGCTGACGATGACAGCCGATTCTCATTATCTGGCAACATGCTCACAGCTGCACAACTACTTCTTCTGCTGCAACAACATATGGGATTGGAGATAGATATCTATCAATACAGAAGGAACCAGGCACCAAAACAAAGAAGAAAACAGAAACGGTTTTGGGTACCGTGGTTGAGGTTGGAAAGAAGATTGAACTTTGGGAAACTATCTCCTATCTGAACTCAGATTCGAAGACAAGTCTTCGTTCTTCAACTATCTGCGAATGCCTCCTGATATGTTTGATGAACTGCTTAATTCCCTGTCTCCCAGACTTACCAAAAGCGACACCAACTTCAGGAAAGCCGTGTAGCCTGGTCTGAAGTTAGCAGTTACCATAAGGCCCCTAGCGTCTGGAGACAAGTACTCCTCCCTCTCCTACAACTTCAGAGTGTCAAGATACACCATAGCCATCTTTCTCCCAGAGGTGAGCCAAGCCATCGTAGACCACTACAAGGATACAGTGATTGCATGTCCTGTCACTCAAGGGGATTGGAAGACCATCAGTCTGGAATTGAAGCAGAGATGGATTCTCCCTCATACTGTTGGTGTCCTCGATGGAAAACACATTGCGATCGTAAGCCACCTGGTTGTGGAAGCCTCCACCAGAACTACAAGGGTTTCTTCTCCATTGTCCTGTTGGCCCTTGTAGATACTAATTACAGATTTCTATGGGGTGGACGTCGGAGGCCTGGGTCATATGTTAGATGCACAAATCTTCAATGCCTCAGAGTTGAAGGAGTGTATAGAAGATGGCAGCATATGCTTGCCCGAACCTGAACCATTACCAAATGATGATCTGGATATGCGTTACTTCATACTTCGTCAATATCTAATGAAACCCTACTCAAGAAGAGGTCTGCCAGGAGCTGAACTGATTTCAACTACAGGATCTCCAAAGCAACAAGAGCCGTGGAGAATGCCTTTGGTACTCTTGCAAACCGATGGCAGTTTCTTCTCAACACTTCGCATTAGGGTCTAGATGAGGTTATGATTATGGTTGAAGCTGCCGTGTGCGTCCTGGCTGTCTTCTGGTGGTGGGGTGGGTGATCTCACCCTCTTGCTGTTGGCCATGTTTCCATTACAGCAGTTGAAATTGGAGTGATGTTGACTTCGATCGCCAGTGCTTTTATACCTTTTCTGTCAGTCTGTGAATGTGAATCGAGTACTGCGCGTACATGCATCGTGTCTTTTTGGGAGGAATTGTGCTGATGCGTGGCTTTGGCAGCTCTGCTTTGTTAGGCAATTGTCGGTTTCATGTAGGGGAAGTGTCGGGAGTTAATCGTCGTTGATCGGGTGTGAAGCGTGGCTTTACGGTGATGACACGTGGCCGTTTCTGCCTCTCAGCAATGGTACGACTCGTTCACGCTTCACCTACGGTTAAGCCGATTGCTCATGATACTTGCCGATGCATTCCCGATGAACTCCCGACACACTGGCGACTATCCCGATCAGTCATGCATAACTTTTGACGTTTTTTTCAATCGGCTCATGTTTTTGAACCTGCAGATTATGCAGACACACTCTCGTATCTTGCTGATCCGTATCCATACATTACGAGTTTATTGGCGATCAATTATTTTAAAACTATTCTCACCAGGTGAGGGAACACCTATGGATCTGTGGGACTTCCGAGGTTGGAGTCGTACACCGCAGAACAACTATCGAGCAGAACCTCTGATTATCACTCCCCATCTGATGAAGCACGTGTATCCTCATCCCCGGCTGCTTATCATACTCAGGAACCCCATAGACAGGTGTGTGTCAGGTTAATATCAGGAACCCCACTAGACAGGTGTGTGTCAGGTTAATATCAGGAACCCCACAGACAGGTGTGTGTCAGGTTAATATCAGGAACCCCACTGACAGGTGTGTGTCAGGTTAATATCAGGAACCCCACTGACAGGTGTGTGTCAGGTTAATATCAGGAACCCCACTGACAGGTGTGTGTCAGGTTAATATCAGGAACCCCACAGACAGGTGTGTGTCAGGTTAATATCAGGAACCCCACAGACAGGTGTGTGTCAGGTTAATATCAGGAACCCCACTGACAGGTGTGTGTCAGGTTAATATCAGGAACCCCACAGACAGGTGTGTGTCAGGTTAATATCAGGAACCCCACTGACAGGTGTGTGTCAGGTTAATATCAGGAACCCCACTGACAGGTGTGTGTCAGGTTAATATCAGGAACCCCATAGACAGGTGTGTGTCAGGTTAATATCAGGAACCCCACAGACAGGTGCGTGTCAGGTTAATATCAGGAACCCCATAGACAGGTGTGTGTCAGGTTAATATCAGGAACCCCATAGACAGGTGCGTGTCAGGTTAATATCAGGAACCCCACAGACAGGTGTGTGTCAGGTTAATATCAGGAACCCCACAGACAGGTGCGTGTCAGGTTAATATCAGGAACCCCACAGACAGGTGTGTGTCAGGTTAATATCAGGAACCCCACAGACAGGTGTGTGTCAGGTTAATATCAGGAACCCCACAGACAGGTGCGTGTCAAGTTAATATCAGGAACCCCACTGACAGGTGTGTGTCAGGTTAATATCAGGAACCCCACAGACAGGTGTGTGTCAGGTTAATATCAGGAACCCCACAGACAGGTGCGTGTCAAGTTAATATCAGGAACCCCACTGACAGGTGTGTGTCAGATTAATATCAGGAACCCCACAGACAGGTGTGTGTCAGGTTAATATCAGGAACCCCATGGACAGGTGCGTGTCAGGTTAATATCAGAAACCCCATAGACAGGTGTGTGTCAAGTTAATATCAGGAACCCCACTAGACAGGTGCGTGTCAGATTAATATCAGGAACCCCACAGACAGGTGCGTGTCAGGTTAATATCAGGAACCCCATAGGCAGGTGTGTGTCAGGTTAATATCAGGAACCCCATAGACAGGTGCGTGTCAGGTTAATATCAGGAACCCCACAGACAGGTGCGTGTCAGGTTAATATCAGGAACCCCACTGACAGGTGTGTGTCAAGTTAATATCAGGAACCCCACAGACAGGTGTGTGTCAGGTTAATATCAGGAACCCCACTGACAGGTGTGTGTCAAGTTAATATCAGGAACCCCACAGACAGGTGTGTGTCAAGGTTAATATCAGGAACCCCACAGACAGGTGCGTGTCAGGTTAATATCAGGAACCCCACAGACAGGTGCATGTCAAGGTTGATATCAGGAACCCCACAGGCAGGTGTGTGTCAGGTTAATATCAGGAACCCCATAGACAGGTGCGTGTCAGGTTAATATCAGGGAACCCCACTGGCAGGTGCGTGTCAAGTTAATATCAGGAACCCCACTGACAGGTGTGTGTCAGGTTAATATCAGGAACCCCATAGACAGGTGTGTGTCAGGTTAATATCAGGAACCCCACAGACAGGTGTGTGTCAAGGTTAATATCAGGAACCCCACAGACAGGTGTGTGTCAAGTTAATATCAGGAACCCCACAGACAGGTGTGTGTCAAGTTAATATCAGGAACCCAACAGACAGTTGTGTGTCAAGTTAATATCAGGAACCCCACAGACAGGTGCATGTCAAGTTGATATCAGGAACCCCACAGGCAGGTGCATGTCAGGTTAATATCAGGAACCCCATAGACAGGTACGTGTTACGTTAATATCAGGAACCCCACTGGCAGGTGCATGTCAAGTTAATATCAGGAACCCCACTCACAGGTGTGTGTCACGTTAATATCAGGAACCCCACTGGCAGGTGCGTGTCAAGTTAATATCAGGAGCCCCGCAGACAGGTGTGTGTCAAGTTAATATCAGGAACCCCGCAGACAGGTGCGTGTCAGGTTAATATCAGGAACCCCACATAGACAGGTGCGTGTCAGGTTAATATCAGGAACCCCACAGACAGGTGTGTGTCAGGTTAATATCAGGAGCCCCACGGACAGGTATGTGTCAAGTTAATATCAGGAACCCCACAGACAGGTGCGTGTCAAGTTAATATCAGGAACCCCACAGACAGGTGCGTGTCAAGTTAATATCAGGAACTCCACAGGCAGGTACGTGTTAGGTTAATATCAGGAACCCCACAGACAGGTGTGTATCAGGTTAATATCAGGAACCCCGCAGACAGTTGTGTATCAGGTTAATATCAGGAACCCCATGGACAGGTGCGTGTCAGATTGATATCAGGAACCCCATAGACAGGTGTGTGTAAAGTTCATATCAGGAACCCCACAGACAGGTGTGTGTCAAGTTAATATCAGGAACCCCACAGACAGGTGCATGTCAGGTTAATATCAGGAACCCCACAGACAGGTGCGTGTCAGGTTAATATCAGGAACCCCATAGACAGGTGCGTGTCAGGTTAATATCAGGAACCCCACAGACAGGTGCGTGTCAGGTTAATATCAGGAACCCCATAGACAGGTGCGTGTCAAGTTAATATCAGGAACCCCACAGACAGGTGTGTGTCAGATTAATATCAGGAACCCCACAGACAGGTGCGTGTCAGGTTAATATCAGGAACCCCACAGACAGGTGCGTGTCAAGTTAATATCAGGAACCCCACTGACAGGTGTGTGTCAAGTTAATATCAGGAACCCCACTGACAGGTGTGTGTCAGATTAATATCAGGAACCCCACAGACAGGTGTGTGTCAAGGTTAATATCAGGAACCCCACTGACAGGTGTGTGTCAGGTTAATATCAGGAACCCCACAGACAGGTGTGTGTCAAGTTAATATCAGGAACCCCACAGACAGGTGTGTGTCAGGTTAATATCAGGAACCCCACAGGTGCGTGTCAGGTGCATGTCAAGTTGTCATATCAGGAACCCCACAGGCAGGTGCGTGTCAGGTTAATATCAGGAACCCCACAGACAGGTGCGTGTCAAGTTAATATCAGGAACCCCACTGGCAGGTGCGTGTCAAGTTAATATCAGGAACCCCACTGACAGGTGTGTGTCAGGTTAATATCAGGAACCCCACAGACAGGTGCGTGTCAAGTTAATATCAGGAACCCCACAGACAGGTGCGTGTCAAGTTAATATCAGGAACCCCGCAGACAGGTGCGTGTCAGGTTAATATCAGGAACCCCACAGACAGGTGCGTGTCAGGTTAATATCAGGAACCCCGCATACAGGTGCGTGTCAGGTTAATATCAGGAACCCCACAGACAGGTGCGTGTCAGGTTAATATCAGGAACCCCACAGACAGGTGTGTGTCAGGTTAATATCAGGAACCCCACAGACAGGTGTGTGTCAGGTTAATATCAGGAACCCCACAGACAGTTGTGTGTCAAGTTAATATCAGGAACCCCACAGACAGGTGTGTGTCAAGTTAATATCAGGAACCCCACTGGCAGGTGCATGTCAGGTTAATATCAGGCACCCCATAGACAGGTACGTGTTACGTTAATATCAGGAACCCCACTGGCAGGTGCATGTCAAGTTAATATCAGGAACCCCACAGGCAGGTGCGTGTCAAGTTAATATCAGGAACCCCACTGACAGGTGCGTGTCAAGTTAATATCAGGAAACCCGCAGACAGGTATGTGTCAAGACAGGTGCGTGTCAGGTTAATATCAGGAACCCGCAGACAGGTGCGTGTCAAGTTAATATCAGGAACCCCGCAGACAGGTGCGTGTCAGGTTAATATCAGGAACCCCACAGACAGGTGCGTGTCAGGTTAATATCAGGAACCCCACAGACAGGTGCGTGTCAGGTTAATATCAGGAATATCCAAGAGCCCGCAGACAGGTGTGTGTCAGGTTGATATCAGGAACCCCGCAGACAGGTACGTGTCAAGTTAATATCAGGAACCCCGCAGACAGGTACGTTTCTTGCCGATCTTACAATATATGCGTGATTCCAATTCTTCCAGTTTATACTCGGTTACTACTATTTCCTTTCGTATGGACGTTCCCCGAGGCATTCCACAAACACGCTGCAATGGCAATAGATTTGCTTAAAGGTTGTGAGAAAAGAAGGACACTTCCGCAATGTGTGTACGACACGGATCTGTACGGAATGTTACCAGTGAGTACTACTCTCATAATTCAGTTACTGCCTGTGTTTGGGCGAACTGTAGTCACCAGACGAACCGAGAACAATAATCAGGGAGAATCTGCTGTCTGCTACGATACTATAACTTATTACAACCGTTGCTTGTGGGATTGCAAGAAGTTAATGTCCTGAGGTGGCCAAAGATTTTAGAACGGAATTTTTAAGTCATCATGAACGTGGCCAAAGATTTAATTAAGACGGAATTAATTTACAGAACATATAAACCAGCGTAGCAGCGTACATACAAACTTCGATACGTCTAAAGTGGCCGACTTGTCATTATGACTGAAAGTTACCGCGGAGTTGTCCCAGTATAAATTTTCACAAAGACCCTGGCGGCTTCTTCCCAGTTGCTCTGTGTGCGAATATGGTATACGATGATATTGTTCATTCACTGTGAACGAATTTACTCCGTTGTACAATTGATAATCATTAGTGTATCCCCTGTTTCAATCACTGTAGTTTTTGAGTGAAGAGTTGTTGAGCAATCCTTGTATCATATTTTCTATTACCTAAAGATTTTACTTTACATACAGCAATTATTGACAGGAATATGTTTAATTGGTTTCATATAAACAACCTTGACCAGCTGATTCAAGACAGACAACTCAATCCTTTTCATTATTTGGATGATTTTTGTTTACCTGCTAGCAGACGACATTTTTCAGTGATCCTCAAGTATGGATGATTTAGAGAAAGTTGATTTTAGATATTATAACAAGGACATCAGATCAGCTAAAGTGATTTCAAGTAGAACAGGCATCCCTTTGTCCACTGTTTATCGTGTTTTGAAAAAAATATTGCTAATGGATAACGCTTTGAGCACCAGGGAGGCGCAGGTAGGCCCAGAAAATTGATTGTCGGTGACAGGAGAAGGCTTGGTATTCTTGTTTCCAAAACAAACGAAGGAGTTAAGAAAACTTAAGGCTGGATATGATTGATAGAAGAACTGTGGCTGTCTGTAAGGAGACAATTAGAACTGAGCTGCATGCAATGGGTTGGCAGAAAAGTCGAGGAATTCCATCACCGATCATGAAACCTAAACAAAAGGAACGAAGGTTGAACTGGTGCTTACAGCATAGAAATTTTAACTGGGACAATGTGATTTTCTCAGATGAAAGTTCTGTGTGGCTGTTTCCTAACACACTGAAATTCTGGACCAAACAAACTAAAAAACCTTTGTATCAGCGCCCAAAGTACAGTCCGAAATTTAACGTGTGGGGTGGCATATCTGTGTTAGGGGGCAACGCCCCTTTGTGTATTTGAAGGGAATATGAACAGTGAACGGTACACAGATATTCTCGAGGGACATTTACTTCCATCTGCTCACGTGTTCTATAGAAATGTTTGGATTTTCCAGCAGGACAACGACCCAAAACATCGTTCAAAGCATTCACAGGCCTGGTTTCGGACCCAAAATATGACATTATTAGATTGGCCAAGCTATAGCCCTGACCTAAATCCAATAGAAAATGTTTGGGGACTTATGAAGGAAAGTGTCAATAAGAAAAATCTGACAAATATTGCTGAAATGAAAGAAGAGGTGGTCCGATATTGGGACAGCATGGACCACGACTTTCTAACTTCTTTGATCAGTAGTATGCCCGCCGCATTGCTGCCCATGGTGACCTGACAAAATACTAACTGGTCACCTGTCTTTGAATCTGGAGTTATGTTCTGCTAATATTCACATTTAATACGTGAGTAATGAGTGAAAAATATATATAAAATACAATCTTTAAATTCTCAGTAATTTCTGGTTGTACTCTATATTATTTCTTTTTAAAAATCCCACTACTGGTAATGAATAGAAAGGAACTGTCTCGTTGATGGTTCTTTCCACTGATGTTTCAGATGCGAATTCAAGTCAGCTGCTATTCCATATTTCTAAAGGAATGGCTGAGAGTGATCCCAAGAGAATCTTTTCTTGTTTTGAGAAGACTACGGCCATGACATAAAAAAAACATTTAAAGACGGTTTTAACTTTCTTAATATAAGTAAGTATCACATTGTTTTTCGTATTTTTACTTTTAAGTAAAACAGAATCCTGATGACTGACTCTTTAGCCGATGTGATCGAACACCGGAAAATGTCTATATATCTACTTGTGTACACCTAGATGAAGATCCGGGGTACACTTGGCCTTCAGCAACCCATGCTTGTGGTAAGAGGCGTTTAACGGGACCGAACCGGTTGCTGCACGTCAAGGTATCCTAATTGCGTGAACTGATGCTTTTGCTGCCAGTCACGGGATTGTCTGCACCTGACTAGGTTATTCCGGGCAGTCGACAATCTCGACATATATGTCCTTGAAACAGTTCGAATATCATCAGTTTGGGATTATGTAGCTTTATGCGTATTTTTCAAGCAACATCACGTCTAATGCACAGACAGCGCGATTGTGCCCACAGTTGTCCATAAGGAGTGAGTGAGCTGGACTTTAACAATATTCCAGCAATATCATGGCGGGGACACCTGAAATGGACTTCACACAATATACCCATGTGGGGATCGAACCCGGGCCTTCAGCTTGATGAGCGAACGCTTTAACCACTAGGCTAACGCACCACCTCAGTTGTCGATGAACGTTTAAACACGAAACATCAACGCCAGAGAATAACCAGTCTCGATTTTGCCCCTAAAACAGATTTCATTCGGCCCAAAAAGACAAAAGTGACCAAAACACAGGTGTAACGGAAAGAAAACCCTGATATGGCTAATTCCGGCGTTGATGTTGTAGGGTTGGAACTTTATCTTAATCCAAAAATAGTAAGGTACAAATTAAGTTGAACTCTACGCGTTCTAATGTCATATAATAACATAAAATACACAAGAATAAAAGTATGTATTTATGTTTGATAGCAACTATGAATGAAGCAAATGCAAATATGTTTTCGATCTTGGCGTATTTGATGCGGCCACCATAATTGGGTTTGGGACCCGAAGTTAGTAGTGAGTCGGAGCTTTTTCCGGCCTGGTAACGTTTAAATAACACTGTGTCACATTGTATATTGTTTCCAATTTGATGTGTACAATTACTCCTACTAGGTACGTACGTTATATTGTGATGTCTTTTCAAGGTCGTTTACCGGAAGAAGACATGGATTTCATTTCTAGTTCAAAGAGGAAGCACGTGACGATAAAAAAGAAAAACAAAGGAGCAATGTTGGACAAAACACGTGATATGCTGAACAAGTTCTTTGAGCCGTATAATGAGGAATTGGCTCTGTTGTTGCAAGATTCCCGCTTTTTATGGAAGGATAGTCAGTGAATGCTGCATCCATGTTAGGTTTTTGGATTTCATCCCTGCACTGAAATTGTATGATTCTAAACGCAAGTCTGAACACGTTCCTTGTGTAATAATCTGACGTTACTGAAATACTGGACGTGACTGCAGTTTGCTATAATGTGATATCACAGGGTACATTTCCATCGGCTTCAGTGACTGGCTCAGTCTTGACGGACTCATTTGGTACTGTAACAATACATACATTTGCGAAAAACAATGTCTTCGTTATTTTTTCTGGATGTGTTTTTAATAAGTACTTTGTGTAAGGAACCCTTCAGTAGTTGTGCTAACCAGTAGTGACCGAAACGTGGCCGAAACTGCAGGAATATAATCCATTTTCACTGCTGTATCGTAATAATAAGTCACATTGCACCATTTATCTACCACACGAACGTGTAGTTCGCCAAACCAAATTTAACACTTTCAAGTGATTACATAAAACCTTCACTGCCAGTGCAATCCACTCCGTTGTTGAATCTGTTTAGTCACTAGAGCATGTAGCGACCAACGGGGAGAACCCGACAGCTCAGTACAAATTAAATTCAACACTTTCGAGTGACTGAAATCTACGTGTCATGGCCCTTATCTGCTATGTGCATTTGACCATAAATGTCTGCTCCCGTGTTATGCAACGTGCGCGGAAAAGCACAGGGACACCCCATCCCTTTACCTGTCGATATCATCGCTGACACAATGTAGTACTCAAGGGCGATATCATCGCTGACACAATGTAGTACTCAAGGGCGATATCATCGCTGATATCATCATCGCTGACACAATGTAGTACTCAAGGGCGATATCATCACACAATGTAGGGGCGATATCATCGCTGACACAATGTAGTACTCAAAGGGCGAATTTCAGTCTTATTGAAAACCTTTATGGATCTTGTTTTATTACGTGAGTGCGACGTTTCGATACAGATTCTTGTACTGATGTCAAGCAGGTATTCCTTTCAGGCTTTGGGATCAAACGTCTTGAGTATAATACATGTATATACAAATGTGTGTACATGTAATTTGACACACATATACTTGGTCCCCAATATTCATAACATATGTTTTCCAGATATGATTCAAATACAACCAAATCATGCAAGGATTTTATAACTAATTCAACGGCACACCATATCGCAATGTTCTTGTGATATCAGAGGCTTCATACCTACACCATATATCTTTCATGCTGTTACATCATGTGCAAATATGAAAAACAGAAGCATTAAACGCTTTCCATTGTCATTAGGAACAGAAACAGTACTGGAGCAATGCTAGATGCCGGAAGTGATGTGATGTTGATGATGTGATGACGATTTACCACTGGTGAAACCCACGCCCGCTTACAAACATATTAACATTATCAGGATTCGAACCCTGAATGGTACTCTGCACAACGACGTGCGGCGCCACAGGCGGCTGGAGCCAACCGTGGCTCCTTGTACATGAACCATGATGGCAGGCAGCTGGATAGAACAGCAATCGGAACTCAGAGTCAAGCACGTTGTTAACCGACGGGACATGATGCATGCAAGAGAGAGGCACAGGGACAGACTCCAATAAGAGATAGCGCAGTGGCACAGGAGACAGGGGGAGATAGCTGGGGACACTGAAGACGGGACTGCAGAATATGACAGAGGCACGTAGAGAACAGAAGATAGGAAATCGGGACGTGACAGAGGACATAAGGGAGGACAGAAGGTAGGACACCAGGGCGTGACAGATGACATAAGACAGGACATAGGGAAGGACAGAAGGTAGGACATCGGGACGTGACAGATGACATAAGACAGGACATAGGAGAGGAGAGAAGGCAGAACATAGGGGAGGACAGAAGGTAGGACATCGGGACGTGACGGGGGACAGAAGGCAGGACATCGGGACCTGACAGTGGACATAGGGGAGGACAGAAGGCAGGACATCGACGTGACAGTGGAAATAGGGAAGGAGAGAAGGCAGGACATCGGGACCTGACAGAGGACATAGGGAAGGACAAAAGGCAGGACATCGATATCGGGTCGTGACAGTGGAGATAATGGAGGACAGAAGGCAGGAAATAGGGGAGGACAGAAGGCAGGACATCGGCACCTGAGAGTGGAGATAGGGGAGGACAGAAGGCAAGACATCGCGACCTGACAGAGGACATAGGGAGGACAGAAGGCAGAACATCGGGATGTGACAGTGGACATAGGGAAGTACAGAACGCAGGACATCGACGTGACAGTGGAAATAGGGGAGGAGAGAAGGCAGGACATCGGGACCTGACAGAGGACATAGGGGAGGACAGAAGGCAGGACATCGACGTGACAGTGGAAATAGGGGAGGAGAGAAGGCAGGACATCGGGACCTGACAGAGGGCATAGGGAAGGACAAAAGGCAGGACATCGGGACGTGACAGTGGAGATAATGGAGGACAGAAGGCAGGAAATAGGGGAGGACAGAAGGCAGGACATCGGCACCTGACAGAGGACATAGGGGAGGACAGAAGGCAGGACATCGGGACGTGACAGTGGAGATAATGGAGGACAGAAGGCAGGAAATAGGGGAGAACAACAGACAAGACATAGGGGAGGAGAGAAGGCAGGTCATCGGGACCTGACAGAGGACATAGGGAAGGACAGAAGGCAGGACATCGACGTGACAGTGGACATAGGGGAGGACAGAAGGCAGGACATCGACGTGACAGTGGAAATAGGGGAGGAGAGAAGGCAGGACATCGGGACCTGACAGAGGGCATAGGGAAGGACAAAAGGCAGGACATCAGGGACGTGACAGTGGAGATAATGGAGGACAGAAGGCAGGAAATAGCGGAGAACAACAGAAAGGACATAGAGGGAGGGAGAAGGCAGGTCATCAGGACCTGACAGAGGACATAGGGAGGACAGAAGGCAGGACATCAGGGACGTGACAGTGGGAGATAATGGAGGAGCAGAAGGCAGGAAATAGGGAGAACAACAGACAGGACATAGGGGAGGAGAGAAGGCAGGTCATCGGGACCTGACAGAGGACATAGGGGAGGACAGAAGGCAGGACATCGACGTGACAGTGGACATAGGGGAGGACAGAAGGCAGGACATCGACGTGACAGTGGAAATAGGGGAGGAGAGAAGGCAGGACATCGGGACCTGACAGTGGACATAGGGGAGGACGGAGGCAGGGACATCGGCACGACGGACAGTGGACATAGGGGAGGAGAGAAGGCGGGACATCGACATGACATTGGAAATTGGAAATAGGGGAGGGAGAGAAGGCAGGACATTGGGACCCTGACAGAGGACATAGGGGAGGACACAAGGCAGGAAATAGGGGGGACAAAAGGCAGGACATAGGGGACATCAGGGACCTAACAGAGGACGTCGGGGACGTGACAGAGGGACATAGGGGAGGGACAGAAGGCAGGACGTTGGGTCGTGACAGTGGACATAGGGGAGAACAGGAGGCGGAAAATAGAGGGAGGACAGAAGGCAGGAAATAGGGGAGGACAAAAGGCAGGAAGGGGAGGACAGAAAGTGGGACATCGGGACCTAGCAGAGGACATCGGGACGTGACAGAGGGACATCAGGGAGAACAGAAGGTATGACATCAGGACGTGACTGAGGACATAGGGAAGGGGAAAAGGCAGGACATCGGGACGTGACAGTGGAGATAGGGGAGGACAGAAGTAAGGAAATGTGGGCGGACAGAAGGCAGAAAATAGGGGAGGACAAAAGGCAGGACATAGGGGAGGACAGAAGGTAGGAGATCGGGACCTGACAGAGGACATAGGGAAGGACAGTAGGCAGGACATCGGGGGCATGACAGTGGACATAGGGACCTGACAGAGGACATAGGGAAGGACAGTAGGCAGGACATCGGAACCTGACAGAGGACATAGGGAAGGACAGAAGGCAGGACATCGGGACCTGACAGAGGACATAGGGGTGGACAGAAGGCAGGACATCGGGGCATGACAGTGGACATAGGGGAGGACAGAGGATGGGACATCGGGACCTAACAGGGGACATCGGAACCTGACAGAGGACATAGGTTAAGGTTATAAAATGTGGGTTTTGAAACTTTGATCACTCCTAATTGTGCATGTAGTTAGTACTGGCATTAGTACTGGCTTTGTCACAGACCCTGCTACCTCACTCACCCACTCACTCAGGTCATGTGAGTGTAATAACAAGTGAAACTGTGTGGCTACATTAAGGGAGAACACGTACATGCGCCTTGGTTCTACAACAACATACTCCTTCGAGGAAACACAACGATGAGGATACGTCTAAGAGTTATTTATTGTGCATTCATATACAAGGCTCGATCCAAGAATCGTCACACCACGTCACTGGACTGTCATGGTAAAACAAGGCACCGAACACCAGTACCGCTATAAAATAGCAATGCGCATGTCCATGACACAATATATCCCAAGTGCTGCACGTGCTCAACATGTTTTGCAGAAACGTCCAGTCGCACCATGATCGGGATTTGCCGAACTTTGATCCCTATTGAAAAAAGAGAACTCGTAAAACTTTGATAGATGCTTTACATAACTTAGAGACATCATATTGCCGATAACATGTTTCAAACCGATGTGACGTATTGCTATCCATTGGCCTATCCGTTGTGTGAAGTTGGGTTTTCATTATGTGCAGGGGGCGGTGGGGTAGCCTAGTGGTTAAAGCGTTGGCTCGTCACGCCGAAGACCCGGGTTCGATTCCCCACATGGGCACAATGTGTTAAGCCCATTTCTGGTGTCCCCGCCGTGATATTGCTGGAATATTGCTAAAAGCGGCGTAAAACTAAACTCAGTCAGTCAGTCATTATGTGCAATATTCTCACTTCACATCGCACGGTCGGAAATATGGTCACATGACAAACACCTGACCTTGGTCAGAGCATCCAGGCCTACAGAGATGCCATTAATTATATTTAGAATTGATACACATGGGTGGGAATTTTTCTGAATGTCAACTTCTATGCACATACCTCGAATCGTCTTGCTTTTCACATTACAGCACTAGACAACCATTAATCCCTCCCCTTTACATATTAGGTATAGTTTTGTGTTTATATCTGTTGCTTAACGCCACACTCCCATGCTGAGCGAAATTCCAGCTGGGTCGCAGCAAGTGATCGAATCTGGACCAGACAAACCAACACCTGATGTTAAGAGCAACGAACAACG